GTCTCTGTGGCTGCCAGTGAAGATGCTGCTCGTGAGTGATTGACAGCGGTCTCTGTGGCTGGCTGTGGTGGGCTTAAAGCAGCGGTGTGCTGAGTGGTGTGCTGCCTGGGAGCACAGTCAGGAGCAGAGCTTACACATGCCTGTGTGGCGTGCCCACACAGCTCCAGGCCCTTCCAGGGGAGCTCTGCTGTGTTTGCTTCTCTTGAAAGGAACTCTTAACTTTAATATTCATATAACAAATGAAACAAGCATATATTATTTATATTTCTCCTTAAAAGCTAAATTCATTTCAGTAAAGTAACTAAAAAAGGAAAATGCCATTCCAGTCACCTATGGAATTTTGTTTGTTTGTTTTTTTCAAGACAGGGTTTCTCTGTGTAGCTTTGCGCCTTTCCTGGATCTCACTCTGTAGACCAGGCTGGCTTCAAACTCACAGAGATCCCCCTGGTTCTGCCTCCCGAGTGCTGGGATTAAAGGCGTGCGCCACCACCGCCCGGCTCCTATGGGAATCTTAATCATAATAAATAAATATTTATTTATGTAGTCTTACGTAGCTCAGGTTGTCTTCAAAGCTAATGTAACCAAGACTGTCCTTGAACTCTGATCCTTTGCCTCCACTTCCCAGCCGATGGGGTTGCAGGTGCATACTACTCCAAAGTTCAGTGTTGATCCGTGAACAGGAAAGTCACACAGGTAGACAGACTAGTCAGCTGGCACAGCACCAAGGTAAGGTGCTGCTGTTTTCACATCTAAGACGAGTACATAGTGGGGGGGGGGGCTCGAGTGCTGCCTAGGGCTGAAACAGTTCAATACAGCTGTAAAGGGAGAGCAGTGAGGGTCCCCCAACCCCCCATCTGTCGGCGAACGCCTGAGAGACGTATCTTATGCTTATCCTGGCATCTCCTCAGTTACCACCTGCCCCTTGTTACATGAGTGACAAGCTCACGAGAGGGTCAAGGTCAAGGTCATAGCCACTGAGTCACAGAACTGTGGTATCCAGGCTTCCGTACTTCTTGATCAGAGCTGCTTTTTTCTAGTTGACTGCTGCATTCTGACTTTGTGTGTCTGTTTGGATGGGTGTGCATACCACAGCGTCATGAAGTTCAGAGAATGACTGCTGGGATTGAGTCTCTCCTTCACTGTGTGGGGACTGAACTCAGGTCACCAGGTTGGTGGCGAGTGCCTTGGCCTGCTGAGCATCTAGCTGGTCCAGGCAGGGTGTTAAGTTCTTGTCCAGCTTCCTCGTTTGGTTTGCCAGAACCTTACTGATCATAGCTCTGTTAAAGTGAAATGTTGGGACCGGAGAGATGGCTCAGTGGTTAAGAATGCTTGCTGCTCTTACGAGAACGGGAGTTCAGTCCCCAGCACCCATGTCATAACTGCCTGTAGCTCCAGCTCTGGGGGGGTCAGCTGTCCTCTTCTGCCCTTGGGCACCTGCACACGTGGGGCGCACACACACACAGACAGACAGACAGACACACACACACACACACACACACACACACACACACACACACTCCTGTACACATTTCTTCAAAGGGAAAGCGTTTCTGTTGTGGAAAGCTAACTTTCTGTCTTAGGGTCACATGCCGACCATTGAGCTCCTGAGGAAATACCACCTCATGCAGTTTTCGGAAGTGACCAAAGCTGTCAGGTAGGTCCATCCTCTGCACGGTTTAGGAAGGCGGCTAATGGAGATGGCACACATACACTAAAACCATGCTGTTCTCTCTTTCTGGGGTTTCGCTGGGCCCGTGTGGTGTTTCCCTTGCTCAGTGAGGGCAATCTGCTGCTGCTCAATGAGGCGCTGGCCAAGCACGAGACTTTCTTCATCCGCTGTGGCATCTTCCTCATCCTGGAGAAGCTGAAGATCATCACTTACAGGAACCTCTTCAAGAAAGTGTGAGTGCCTGGGGGGACCTCGGCGGGCCAGGTGCTGTTCCGCAGCACGTGCGCTCGGGTTGGAAGCCCAGAACCCTGTGACAGCTGGAAGCTTGCAGACCAGCTGGCCTGGTAGATGAGGTGTGAAACAGTAGTGATGAGGAGAGCCTGGGTCCCCAAGGCGGGAGGCAAGGACTGACACCTGAGGCGGTTCTCTGACCTGCGCACGCGCGCACACACACACACACACACACACACACACACACACACACACACACGCGCGCGCGCAGAAAAGCAAGTAGGGTGTCTGCCAAAAGGAACCCTTGGGGCACATGATGCAGCCTGTGGGGGCAACATCCTGCCCCTCATCAGGCAGAGGCTGACTCCGAAGGCCTGTGTGATGACATAGCTGGGCAGCAGGTTCAACATTAGCTTGGGGTGCCACACACCTGCCTGTCCCAGCTCTGGAACGACGTCCTCTTTCCTTTTCTAGCACAGCAGCTGGCTTATCCTCCCCACCACTGTGTGTCAGGGAATTCAATGTGATGGTTCCTTTTCCTGGGTGTGAGGTGGTGAGAGCACTGGCTCTCAGGTGCATAGAGACCTTGTATCTAGCTGATGGCAGTCTGTCGGGAATAGTAAGGAGGAGCTGAAATCACAGGCTGTCTCAGAGTTGTTGACTTGTGATAAAGTATGCATTGAAGATTTAATGAAATATTAAATAATCTAAAAATCCTATCAGTACAGGGGTGTTTACAGTAGAAAGCTTATGTACTATTGTATTCTATAGCTATTACAATTTGTGGGGTGTGTTTTAGGGTGTATCTAATCACTGGGAACTTAAAATATGTGTGAGCATTGGTTTACTAAATGATGTCATTTCTTCCTATCCTGCTCAGGGCTGCTCTTGTTGGTCTTGAAGTTCTGAGTCCTGTTGATAATTATGGTGATTTCTCTTCCTCTGTAGGTATTTGTTACTCAAAACTCATCAGCTGTCTCTAGATGCCTTTCTGGTAGCCTTGAAATTCATGCATGTGGAAGACGTGGACATAGATGAAGTCCAGTGCATTCTGGCCAACTTGATATACATGGTGCGTGAGTGTTTGCCTGCTCAGCAGGCCTCTAGTGCTAATGTAATCAGAAGAACTCTTCTCTTTGTGAAGGCATTTTCTCATAGAACCAATTGTTTTCCTGGGAAATACTATTCAAAGGGCCTCACATGAGTCAGTGATGAGAGAGAGGTGTAACCTCAGTTTTCCTATTCTCTGTCATGTGTTTGTCCCCAGGGAAGAGTTTTTCATCATCATTGTGTCACCTGGCATATTTGAAGTGACTGAGACTCAGAAGTGTAAGCTGATCCGTTTCTCTCTGTTTCAGGGTCACATCAAAGGCTACATCTCCCATCAGCATCAGAAACTGGTTGTCAGCAAGCAGAACCCTTTCCCTCCACTGTCCACGGTGTGCTGACGTTCAGGGCTGCGGATGGGGTACGGTGTCCACTGTAGCCCAAGCCTTTGGTGCTTCCCCAGGACCACTGCGGTGGTCACCATTGTGAGTGTCTACCCAGGCTCTCCATGGTCCTAACTCAGGCCAGCTTTGCCAAGACCTGGAATCCTTTTCTCGATGGACGAACACCCCTGCCGCCGGCTGCTGCTTGAGAACTACCAGGAAGCAGGCAGCTGGGCTTCGGTTTATTTGTTGTTTATGGAAGCTGTCTTTGTAATATTTTGTAGCTTTATCTTTTTTTTTTTTTAAGTAATCCAAATTTATACAAAATACATTGTTTATTGTATGTTACATGATATGTCTATTTTCATATGCAGAATCTGAGCAATTTGTCAGCTCAAAGCACTTGGTTAACTTGACCTTTCTTTTTAACAAGGGGAATTTGGGGCCTGGAGGGATGGTTCAGCGGTTAAGAACAATTACTACCCTATCAGAGGACCTGGGTTTGGTTCCCAGCACCCGCATGGCAGCTCACAACCATCTAGAACTCCAGTTCTAGGGGATCCAATGCCCTCGTCTGGCCTCTGTGGGCTCCTTCCTGTACATGTGTGCACGTAAATTCACCCGGGCACACAGACACATAAGTAAATACATCTTTTTTTAAAAAAGCAGAATTTCGTGTGATGTAAGTTTTCCAGCTCTGGCTTATTTCTTGACCGTTGTGAAGGCTGCGGGCCTAGGACCAAGGCCTGGCAGTCGGCTCTGGTGACGGCCTCTGCTGAGCTGCAGCTGGCCTTGCTCTGCCTGTTTCCCTTCTCCTGCGGCCACTGTGCCATCGACCGTCCCTCTGCAGCTGCGTCTAACCTCACCACTTGTAGAGACCCTTCCTCTGGCCTCAGCAGAAGTCTCTCCCGCCGCACTGGAAACTCCCCTGCTTCTTAGAGTGTGCGTCTCCTCCGCGGAGGTGCTGTTTGCATGCTTGTTGTTTTGTGTCATTTATTTGTTTATTGGAGTGGGGTGGGGTCCTTAGACATAGCCCGGCTGGAGCTCTGTGTAGACCATGCTGGTAGAACACGATGCTCTTCTCGCCTCTGCGTCCCCCTCCAAGGGCTTGGTGGGTGTGCCCGTGGGAGGCTTACGGTCCCCTTGTCGATGAGAAGTACACTAAGGAAAGGCTGCCTATTTAAGTTGTCATGTTCAGAAGCTGTCCTTGTGCAGGTGAGCTGTGGTGGAGCTTCTGTGTCCTCCATGGGGCCACAGAGAGCAGGACTTGCCCTGTGTGTGGCTGCTTCATCAGCATCCTCCTGCAGCGGCAAAACCACCCAGCACCCCAAGATTGCACAGATCTGAAGCCTGGTCAGCACTTGGTGGGTTTGGCCTCTGCTCCACGTGATGAGGAGTATGGTCCTGGGGACTAGGAGGTGTCCCACTCCTGTGATAGGTGTGGGCTTGGACACCAGGCTCAGTGGGATGTGGGCGGACAGCTCGGGTCCTTGTGGCAGCTGAAGCTGGGTTCCAGGACGGGGCCAAAGGAAGTGGTCCCTTGTGTGGCCTTGGGTCGTGAGCTGTATCACTTTCTGGCTGAGAACACCACCTAAGCCACACACTGGCTGAGGAGCAGTATGTCCGTGGCTGTATGTCCCTGGTCATGTCCGCCCAGCAGCCCGGTGTGCAGAGAAGCTGTCTGGCAGTGGAGATGGCCCCTAGCTGGCAGAGCTGGTGAGATCCACCAGGGCTGAGCTTGCCTTCCTGTCTCCTTTGTGTACGTGTCTGGCACTGCCCTCATGTAGAGCTATCCTGCAAAGCTGACCCTGCTGTTCAGCAGGGTGCTTAAGCACCCCAACTTCTGATAAAGTTATCCTTGCAGTGACTCAAACATTGACGTTCCTACGAGCATCCTGGATTCCAGTCTTTTGAGTTTAGTAACAACAGAATCAAATTTTCAGGTGTCTCCAGGTAGTTTATTAAAAGTGACATCCCAAGTCAAGCACTGATGTTCAAAGTGATAAATAGTTGAACCCGGCAGTTAAAGAAATGACCTCCGTGTAGCATCTTTGTATGCTGTCTCGCATCCTATGTGTGGAGTTGTGGTTTCTGGACACAGACCCATATGTTACTGTGGCTAGTTTACATCAACATCAGATGCTCACACCTAGTTCTTGTCTAGGGGTACACTAGTCTGGCCTCTTATAATTTATATTTTGAGACAAGGTCTTACGCTGCAGCCTAGGCTATCTCCACACTTGGGAGCTTCCTATCTCGGCTTCTCAAGTCCTGGCACTAAAAGGCAGGGTCACATTCCTCTCAGAGATGAGGGTACCAAGGCACAGCCTCACTCACCACGTGACTGAGCTGAGAGTGTCTAAGAACAGCCTTATCAGGAGGCCCACGGTTGTCTTCCAATACTAACCCTGCTTCTCTCTCCCAACTGGGCCATGCACAGTCAGAATTAGGCTGCCTTTGCTGTCTCTCTGGTAATTCTGAGATGCCTCTGTCCCAGAGATGTCTGTTCCAGTGTGGGAGACCACGTGTGACAACCACATGCATTCACAGCCCCTCACCGCCCAGGAACTCAGCTGGTTTATGACTGACACTGATTTTATTTAACGGAAACTCCCTGCCAGCTAGCTTCCATGGTGCTGGACGGTGCTGTGTGCGCTGCAGCGGAGCGAAGGCATCAATGGTCTCAACCCGGTGCTGGACCCCAGTCCCCAACACTGACGTGCCCACCGAGATGTGCCCACCGGCACAGTCATGGCATGGCTACCGAGGGGTAGTGAACTGCTTTCTGGTTGAGTTTAAGTCCTGCTCCACAGCAGGATTTCATGCTTGGAACTCTAATCTGGGCCAAAAGCTCCTGGCTGGGGCCGTCCCAGGCCCTAGGGTAGAAGCTGCCATTGTTGCTTTGCTAAACAGGCGTGTTAAAAATCGTCTTCTAAGTGTTGGTGTTTACACCCATAGATCTGGACTGTTCTCCAGCTTGGCCGGAGAAGCTCCTTTTTATAATAGGCAGCAATGAATGCAAAGATCCATAACTGGTCCCGGTGGCTGAGAAGAGGGTTCAGTACTGAATGGAGTATCCTAATGAGCTCTCCCCTCACCTCGCACCCAGGGAACTTTGTGGAAGAGAAAGCAGGGAGAATATACAAGCTGAAAAGTGGTGGGGAGCGCCATGAGACGTTCAATCCGGACATACATGATGAGTTCACTTCCAGACTCACAGCTGCTGTGGTGACCTGTTCAAGACTGCACCAGGTCAGGCCAGACGAGATTCTGCCCTCGATGGGGTGGGTGCGTGGGTCATGCTCCATGCCCCACTCCTTACTGGGGCGCGATTGGCAGTTGGCACTGCTGGGGGAGCACACTCCGGTGGACTGCCCCACACCACACCCAGAGGTGGCTGGAGCCAGCTTCTCAGGCTCCCCCGACTCCCCATCGTAACGCATATATGCATGGCAGGTAGCGCTACTGGGACTTACTGGTTCATCAGAAAAAGACATGAGGGCAATACAAGGCGAGCAGCAGAATGGGGCAGCAGTGGGGTTGTATTTCATTGTGTGTGTGTGTGTGTGTGTGTGTGTGTGTGTGTGTAATTCCTAAGAATAAAGGGAAGTTTAAAGTCCCAAGGAAAGAGACATCGCCTTCCAATCTTAACAGAATCTGACCACCTCTTAGCCACGTTGTTGGATTTCAGTTACTTCATGATCTGTTTAAACCACATCGAGTATCTTGGGACTGTGGTGAGGAGGAACACGTGTGACCGCCCTGGTGGCGGCAAACCCAGGATCCCCGTGAGGAACCAGGTCCCCTTGTGTTCTCGGGTGACCACACTCCCCTCCACCCAAGGCCCAGTCACCACGCCGCCCTTCTCACAGCTTGTTCTTGTTGTGACAGTCACATTCAGGGTCTGTCCACATTCCTCCCCATCCTCCTGTGTGACCGGAAGCCTCATGGGTGTGGTATCCAGGTCTGTGCCATTGAGGGTCCAGCCGCTGAGGAGACCCTCTGTTCCAGGGATGAGGACATGCTCGGCAAAGTCCCTCTCTGGGACACAGACAGGGAGCCCTGAGCTGGGGCAATGCAAGGGTTTCTCTAGTTCCAGCAGTGAGAGGTCATTCTCCCCTGACTCCTCATCATAGCGCATGTGCACGTGAGTGCTCTTGATGCCAATCCGCTGGCCAGCATCTGAAATCATGAGCAACCAACCGACTTAGTCTCCAGGAACTGATTTCTCAGTGTAACCCTATGGGGGAGAGGCAGCGTTCTTCTGGGACTTGAATGCAGATCATATCCCTGGCCTCTTCACACTGTCCTCTAAAAGAGTCAGATTTTTATTCTGGAACACAGGACAGTGTGGGGGCTGGTTAGAAAACAGGAAGCGGCGAAGAGGAACGTCGCCAGGCCAGTCTGAACATGGCCGCTCAGGACTTATCATCACGTGGTTAGTTCTTTCAGGGTGAGTCTCAGCCTGAGTGTTTAAGGTCAAGAGTGAGACATGCTCGCTTCAAAGCTCACATTTCCTGTTGAGCACAGCCATAGCTGATGATGGGAACTTCCCAGTGGGGAGAAACGATCGTCCAGGCTTTGGAGATGGAAAATGAGATACAGATACGCCCTGAGATGATCCAGGGTTGCAGCCCAAGATCATAGGGAGGAGGGATTTGAACCCAGCTCCTCTGGCTCTCAGCCAGCCCTCCTCGTCCAGGTGGTTGCTCTACTTCTGCGATTTGGCCTGAGCTGGGTGCTACTTAGCATTGGCTCACTGTGTCCACATTCTACTAGATACGTCTTGTTCTGTAAATGCTTGTGATTGTACAGCTACCTCGGTGTTACTGAAGCTATTTCATGTCTTGCTTTAGAAAGAAAATTTCTAGTTGAAAATTTTCCATGTTATTCCTTTTGGATTATTTTTTATTTATAATGAGATCTTATAACATTCATGGGAGAAATACTTACTTGCTTTGACACTAATGTTGTTGTGTAGTAATGAGCACTTTGCTGTGGTCAACACGAAGTCCTCCTGGATTAAAACACCACCACAGAAGTCCTTTCCTTCGGAATTTGTTAACTTGACCTTTAAAAAACAGAAAATGGCCGGGCAGTGGTGGCGCACGCCTTTAATCCCAACACTCGGGAGGCAGAGGCAGGCAGATCTCTGTGAGTTCGAGGCCAGCCTGGGCTACCAAGTGAGTTCCAGGAAAGGCGCAAAGCTA